ACCCACTGCAGCTGGCAGTCCATATTTATACCCGAAATCCGTCTTCATTCGGCTGCGATTCGTGGGGTTCATTGAAATGCAAGGGCAGTTGGTGGACATAGTTAAAGTTTTACATTTCGTACTCTTCATCGCGTGGCTCTTTGTGTTATTTCCCACTGATTAATGTATAACACGTCGTGAGACTTAAAATGCGAAAAATGCAGCTATAAGGTCAATGTTGAGTTCCTTTCAGTTGATCTACGAATATTTGTTTCCATTTCTTTTTTATGTTTTTTATTTTTTTAACTGCACACATTTATATTGATTATTAGTTCTGATGCTACTGCAGCTGCAATGCCTGCATCTTGAGTTAAACACTCGCATATATTTCAAGAACTTTCGATATGATGTAACATGCTGAGTATACATATATAAAAAACATATATGTAATCTTTGGATTTATGTCAACTTTGCGTATTTCTGTGCGTCCATTGCTTATTCTAATTGGAATTGCGGCTCGGCCATAAACAAAAGGTCCGTAACGGCAACGACCGTTGGCCGATTGGATTGCATGTCACGTAGGCCACGTTAAAAATATTGTCAACACTGGCGAAGCGACGCGTGACATTAAAGTGTCCAAAAGCAACTTTGAATTTGTTTTGAAAAAAGACATGCAATTATGTCAAGGTCATGGGGAAATGCACAGTAAACCGTTAACTGCGGGACAAAGCTCGAATTTAATTATAATAAGTAAAGTGTATTTGGAAAATGCAAAAATAAGTCAAAGGTTAAAATAATTCAGTTGGTTATTTAAACTAAGATTTTGTTTAGTTTATATATAATTAAATTGTTCGATTTAATTTTTTTTTTTTTTCAATATTAAAAATATAAAATATGCAAAATGATTATTATATGTTTCTTTAATGTATAATATATATAATAAAACCCTTTAAAAAAGAAAATAAATATATAAAAAAAATATATAAAAATATAACTAAAAATTATAAAAGAACTAAATAATAATAATAAAATAAAAATAATAAGATATTGATAATATAATAAAAGTTTCTTAAATTTACTGCTTATTCTTATTTCTTTCTTCTTAAATAAATCATTTAACAGAACAAAATCTCTAAGAATTAATCAGTTAATAATTATTCAGTTAAAACCATAATTTATAAAATATACTACAAATAAATATTTAGCAAGCAGAACATTAAAATAAACAAAAATAATTAAATAATATAAATATGCATTTGTATATGATCTACAGCAGCGATAATATATGTTGTCCCTTTAATTGAATATATAATGTAATACATCATTTTTCTATTATTATTATTATTGTTTTTATTTTATTTTATTTTATTTTTATTATTGTTTTTTTTTTTTTCGCAGAAAATTAAAGAAAGCCTAAGAAGTATTTTTTCGAAGGCCTATATAATTTAATAATATAATTACATAAGACTTTTAGAACTTATCCATTAAATATTTTTCACAGTAACCAAACTGATAAAAAATAAAAAAATAATCTTTTTATATAATTTTTGTTATAGTTATTTATTTACTTATATACCTTTTTACATAGAATCACAGAATACATTTTGTTTAACCCAGAAGTGGCGCTGGAGCAGCAGCATAGCTCAGCGGTGCCAAAGGAGCAGCGGCGTATCTGGAGTACAGCGGAGCTGCCAGGGGAGCGGCAATTGGTGCAGCCAGGGGAGCAGCTGCGTACTTGGCGATCAGAGGTGCAGCCAGGGGAGCAGCAGCATACCTGGAGTAGAGTGGTGCAGCCAGAGGTGCGGCGAGAGGTGCAGCCAAAGGAGCAGCTGCGTACCTGGGAATCAAAGGAGCAGCCAGAGGAGCAGCCAGGGGAGCAGCGATGGGCGCTGCTAAAGGAGCAGCAAGAGGTGCCACAGCCCTGGCAACTGGAGCGACTGGAGCGACTGGAACCTGGGCAATCAGGGGAGCGGTGGCAATGCCATTGAAGTTCCTGGCCACCACTTGGCTGCTGGTCGCAGTTACTACAGGCGCAGGTGCAGCCAGGAGCGCGGCTGGAGCAGCCAGAGGTGCGTGCAGCAGACCTGGTTTGCCGGCGGCGCAGGCAATGAGAGCGCAGAGGACAGCGGCCTGGGGAAAGCATAGAAGGACATGTGGAATGAGCGACAGGAGCAGGACAACATCAATTGCAGACAACTTACGTATTTGAACATGTTGAGGGATTTCTGATTGGTTTTTGGAGTTGCCACTTGAAGAGCGAAACTGTGTTTGATGACTTGCCTTCGTTTTCGATTTATTTTTATAGCAAATCAAAACGCACGTGACGGACGCGCAATAGAAAGAGAAAAACAAAATGAAGAAGTCCAAATAGAAGAAGACAGAAAAAAAAAAAACAAAAAACGTCTAAATTAGCATGCAGAGCGCGCAGGCAAAGTAAAGCAAAGCCAAGCAGCCGAAACGCAGACGCACCTGGGCCAACTGTAACGGTAATTGTACGGGGGCGTTGGCTAATATTGCAATTTGATTTGATTTTCAAGTGCATACGCCGCAAACTGCAAGTGATCGGTGAAACTTTTGTTGCATTAGCAGGACAGGTGATTGGTAGGCTTGTGGAATTGTGGAGCAGAATAAATTGGCAATAATTATTTCTTTTTTATTTCTAGTTTCATATATCTAATACAGCAATTCTTTATTTATCTCTATCTCTCTCTCTTTCTCTCTCTCCCTCTCTCTCCGTAGATTGTCATCTTTGCCTCTGTTTTTCTATTTGTTGCTTTCACTTTCATCTGTCTCTGTTTACTTTATTTGTATTTTCGTGTCCTTTTTCTGTCTCTCAAGTTCCATTTCTCTTTCTCGCTCTCTCTTTTTTTCGATCATTAACTTTCGCTCTGTTCCTCTATTTGATACTTTTTGCATCAGCTATCTCTTTTTGCTTTATTTCCTCTTTCAGTGTCCGCTCTCTTTACATCAATCTATTACTATCTCTCATGTTCCAGTTGTCCTAATCCTTTAATTTTCAGCCTGTCTTTCTCTTTCTCTCCTACTCCTTCTCTCTTCTTGTTGTGATAATATGTTTGGCTTCTTCTTTCTCTCGATCATTTACTTTCTGATAAGAAATATATAAACTTTCGCCCTCAATTTTTATATCTCATTAGCATTTTTGCTCTGTCTTTCTCTTTCTCTCTCTCTCTCTCTCTCTCTCTCTCCCTCTCTCTCTCTCTCT